ACCTAATGATTAATAATGAGACCAAACAGAGAGATTTTGTGCTCTTTATGCAAATACAATTATCAGTGTGTCCTCATTCAATAAAATCTGGTGAATTTAGTAGTCTTTGAGCTGCTTTTTAAATATTTTCTACTATTTGTAGTTTAGTAGTCTTGGGAAGGGTACTTCCCTCTTGGCTCAGTAGTAAAGAAGCCACCTGCCAATACAGGAGACTCAAGTTCAGTCCCTGGATGGGGAAGATCCCCTGGAGAAGGAATTGGCAACCCATTCCAGTATTCTTGCCTGGGAAATCCCAGATTTCCTGGTGAGGAGCCTGGTGAGCTACAGTCCATAGGGTCACAAAGAGTTGGAAACAACTTAGTGACTAAACCCAAACCTAATCTTGGGAAAGTTAATTAAATTCTCTAAGGTTCAGTTCCCTCATGATTAAGTGAAGATACTACTGGTACCTACTCATTGTCATGGAGTTGGAGGATCAGCCTGGAGTCTGGCATACAGCAAGCACTGACATGGTAATTGTTGCCATTACTATTATTACTGTACTTTTACCTAAAGCCTCCCCCTAGCCCCCACCTAGTTGAAAATAGGCAGGAATATAAGGAAATAAATAAATAATCAAAATGCATGCATTTCATGTGAATGTATTTTCAAAACTGTTATTCTTTTTCTGTCTTGTTTAGAAAATTGTTAAACACACAGAAATGAACCTCCCTATAGCCATCACTCAGCTTAACCAATGATCAACATTTTTACCAGTTTGGGGTATTTTATCCCCAATATTATTCTTATGAAATATTTCAAACCACCTGCAAATACTTGAGTATTCATCTTTAATCATATAATTGTTTTAAAAACATAATCATCATGCAACGCTGAAAATGAATTCTTAATGTCATCTAATACCATATTTACATATCCATATTTGTCTCAGAAATGTCATTTTACAGTTGTTAATGGGTTGGGAAGTGGGGGGAATGGGAAAATGTTGGTCAAAGGGTACAAAGTTTCAGATATGCAGGATAAATACATTCTGGAGCTCTAATGTACAGCAGGGTGACTACAGTTAACAACAGTGTATTGTATACTTGAAATTTGCTAAGAGTAGATCTTAATTGTTCTCACTCAAAAGTTGTGAAGGGATTGATATGTTAATTAGCTTGCTTCTAGTAGACATTTTGCAAAGTATACATATATCAAAACATCACCTTGTACATCTTAATTACATGCAAATTTTTTGTCAATTATACCTCAGTAAAGCTGGAGGGAAAATCTGTTTTGCAGTTAATTTATTTTTTAAAAAGAAACTGTTTTACAGTTAGTTTATTCAAATCAGGATCCAAATAAGGTCTACATATTGCATTCGTTTATCCTGTCTCTTGACTTTTTCTTTTTTTGCCATTGCTGCTTTAAGAGAAATCAGGTTTACTGACATTTCTGATTTAGGGATTTGTTTCCTTGTGGCATTATGTAACTTTTCTGTTCTCTGTGTTTCTTGCAATCTGGTTTTAGATGTAGATATTTGATTGGCTTCAGGTTAAATTTTTTTTCCTTAGTCAAAAATACATCACAAGTGATGCTGTGCAATTTCTGTTGTATCATCACATCAGGAGGCACATAATGTCTGGGTCCCAAATTTAGTGGAGCTAAGATTGATCTGAGGACACAGACGGTGTCTACCTGACCCTTCATTGCAGAATTCCTTATCAATCTTTCACCTAGGGACTTCCCTGGTGGTCCATTGTCTAAGACTCCATGCTCCCAAAGCAGGAGGTCTGGTCAGGGAAGTGAATCCCACATGCCACAACTAAGAGTTTGCATACCACAACTAAAGATTCTGCATGCTGCAGCAAAGATCGAAAATCCTGAGTGCGCAACTAAGACGTGGTGTGGCCGAACAAACATTAAAAAAAAATCTTTCACCTAACCGTTTTAACATCCATTAATGATCGCTGCTTTGAAGTATTATTGCATTGTTGCTGCTGCTGCTGCTAAGTCACTTCAGTTGTGTCCAACTCTGTGCGACCCCATAGACGGCAGCCCACCAGGCTCTGCCGTCCCTGGGATTCTCCAGGCAAGAATACTGGAGTGGGTTGCCATTTCCTTCTCCAGTGCATGAAAGTGAAGAGTGAAAGTGAAGTCGCTCGGTCGTGTCCAACTCTTAGCGACCTAGTCCATGGAAGTCTCCAGGCCAGAGTANAAAAATCATAATCAAAATCAAAACATTTATACCAATATTTCCAAATCAAATTGAAGATTACATAATTTTTATTTGATATCTTCAATCTGATGTTTATGTTTATTTTCTCAAGCTGAAAAGTTTGGTTTCTAATGACATTAAATAATCACATGTTTAATCCTGAAATACACCAGTAACAATTTTAAAATAGTAATAGTAATATTGCAACTATTAGTAAAACTTACTATACTTTATTTCCCCACAAGTCTTTGCCACAAAAGGTAACACACAAAAGCATTTTCCACTTAACAATTTATTTTGATGATCACTACATTTCATTACATAGAGACTTTTTAAAGTATAGCTGCATTCCATTGGACCTATGAGGATTATTTTAAATTTTTCTGACACAGACTTCATATTATTTCTCATGTTAATATGTGTTGAATGTTTATGATAATATACATATTCTAGAAAGGTTATAATTAAACCAAAATTCCTAATAATCTGGCTAAATGAAATAAAGATAGAATGCAATATTCTCAGAAAAAATACAAACACTCAACACAGCTGTTTAAATACATACCAATTGAGAGAGAAAAAGGGACTCCAAAATCGTAGGTGGGAGAATCTAGCCTGAAACCTATCATTTTACTGCTAATTTAAAAAATGGCTTCCATTTGTCAACATGGATTCTCTGCAAACAAAACCTCAAGCAAAAGTTTATATACAAACACTTAATTTTGATGGGGAGGGGTCACGTGCAATCCCAGGGAAGTGGAAATGAGAGGGGAAGGAAGTAAACCAGGGAAGGGAGAGCATAAATGGGACGTGTTTCTGAGCTGGCTTCTGCTCCACAAGGAGCACGGCTGGTTTCATCGTGGAAGTCCCTGCATGGGCTTCCTGTGTTCCTCGGTTCTGTCACCTGGCCCTTGCACAGTTGCCAGAGAAGCCAGAGCCTCTGGTGGTCCATTCAGACTGGTGACCAGGCGCAGGGGTTCCTCCTTGGCAGCTTCTTGGTGGGGAGCTCTCTGGACAGTGAGGTGGGAGAGTGGCCATGTTTCAAGACAGCAGGGTGGGTTTCTGCCACTAAGAAGCCAACCAGACCCTGTGGCAGGTCCAACCCGCCTGGAGTGGCACATGAACTGGGTCGGATTCACAATTTTAAATGAAATCACCCAAGTTTTCTATCTATATTCAGAAGTCTTTGGTACAAAAATAATTTATGACACAGAGCTAGAAAGCATCTTAACGCATCTAATATTTTTTCCTTTACTTTAAACAAGACCATAAGTTATTTTATCTTTTAAAATTCTAAAGGGTATTTCACAATTTCCCTCAGTAGCCCTTTCCAGTTTCTAGACATACCATCTTAAACCTTAAAAAAAATCTGACTATTCTAGTTTAGCAACTTGAGACTTTGGTGGATTAACCCCTAGGCTAATAAAAATACTAATCTTTTAAAAATTCTAAAATTTATGATAATTAGAGGGTGATAAAGGATAACTGTCTCAAATTTTGTCTGGGATATAACTTTTGTATAACAAAATTCAGGATTTTTTAGGAAAAACTCAGAATTTCTGATAAAATTATTAAGTATTATAAGTGAATTATGTTAGATTCTAAATATTTTGAGAAACTATCTGTTGATCTTCACTCAAAGGTTTAATCACTTAACCAAAGGTTCTTTTCTCTGTATTAGTGTAACCAGTCTGCTTTTGTTATTGTTTTCACCTCTAATTTGAGTGACTCATTGACTTGACCTATTCTAGGTCTCTTGTGGCACTTTTGAAATAAAGCCTTACACATGCTCATAATTAAATTATCTGAATAATTACAATAATTATAATTATTCTTGTAAGATTCAGGTATCAAATATATGTAAATATTGTTGTGATAAAAGAGATGACTCCTATTTTCTCCTCAATGATCATGTGTGTATGTGCATGTGTCTTATTTTCCATCCTACTCTAATTAGCACGCTATAGTGGCAATGACCTTTAGGATTCTATGAGAGAAAAAAGTTCTGTTCAAAGGCTGCAAACTAGCTTGAGATCGTGCCCTGACATGTCACTGTATTAATATATTGATAGTAAATGTTAATTACACTTATGTGGACAGAAGGAGGCCGGGAGAGGGAAGGAGAGAGGGAGAGAAAATATTTCTTGCAAACTCCTGTCTCTCCACCATGGGATAACATTGTTAAGAACATCACAGGTGCTCACTAGATAGTTTTTGAATTTGTGAATGAATGGGTACCCCTCTGGGATTATTAGTTACACTGTTACTTGAAGGCAAAGAGATGAGTAGATATCTTCAGCTCTCTTGCTGGTCCTAGGGTTCTGTGGTTTCTTTGACTACTAAAAGTTGGTTAGGTTGCAAATTTATTCTGAAGTCTTAAAAACAAAATACCTTCACATAAAAGGCAGGGAAAAAATACTCCTCAACATGTCCAGGAAAGTCTAATAAATACTTTCAGTAACATGGATAAGCAATGCAAACTCATTAAAAAGGTGTATACCAGTGGCACTAACTTGTAGCTGGAAGAACTTGAGTTGTGTCCAAGTCTATTCTATCCAACATTAGCTGTCTTGGAGCCCCTTGTGCACGTATGAATGCAGGCGGCTGCCTTTCTGAGGTATACTCTCTTGCACTAATCAAGAAAAACTGCTGAAGTCATGAGGCTGCTCCAGACAGAGCTCTTATGCGAGTCACATGAAAGCTCCCGCGCTGCTGACCTCTGGCAAACAGGCAGTGAACAAGGACAGGGGAGACAGAGGGAGAGAGGTTCAAGCGCTGGTGTTCTCCTTGAACCTAGAAGATTATGGGTCAAGAGCTGTGTGCAAAGGCTCTGTAGCCTGGATGCAGCTGCCATCACTGCTGGGAGGGAGGCAACGCACACAGCTGTCAGAGGAGTGCGCCTGTGACGACGGAGGCTGCGATCGAGGTATTCGTATCCCAGGAGCATCTTCCTCTATTGATAAACAGAGTTCAGAGGCTCCCTTTCTGTAGCAGGGCCTGATTTTCCTGCACTAGAACTAAGGCAATAAAAAGAAAATTCTATTAAAGTCACAAAGAATGTGTGGCTGTTGCTATCAAATTCAGGGATTCTCTTTTAAGCCAAAAGGGAAAAATAACCCTATGCTTTGGGCTGCACAAAACTCACTTGCCTTGCAGTCAAGAAAGTTATTCTCTTGCAGTCTCTGACGTATTAAATTAGCGAGCTGAACCTCAGAAAACAAGCTGCACTATTTTGTATCCTATGGATTAAAAATTTCGGTAATTAGCTCATGGCTATCAGCAATGCTGTACAAGAAAGTTATTCCCCTAAAGAGATAAATTAAAGGGACAAGAAAAAGAAAAGTCTAGGTTTAACAGAAAAATTGGAACCCATCCATCAGAGAAATTTAGGTTAACCTAAGTGTTTAAAGACAGATTTTTAGGTAAAGAAAGAATATTGTGTTTTAGCAGTTGATATCATTATGGGGTTTTTTTGTTTGTTTGTTTTTTAAAGGAACTGATGTTCAAGAAAGGTACATTTTGGAGGTGTAGGAAGCTTAGAAAAGATTTGAAGAGTTAACATCAGGCAAATTAAGAAAAAGTGGTTTAAGCTAACCGTTGTCTTGACTTTGCATAAATTTTATTCCTGCACTTTCCTTTTTCTCTAGCTAGCAGACCTAAAAGAAGCATCATATTCCATGACTTCATTTCACCCCAGGGGACTTCAGGCTGTGCATGCCCGGAAGTTCAAGAGTAAAAGGCCGAGGAGTAACAGCGATTCTTTACAGGAAGAAGATCTGAGGCAAGGTTTTCAGTGGGTGAGTGAGCAGCTGATGTTGATCAAGAGGAATTTAATGTGTGCTTGTCTAGGAAGGCTGGTCTTTTTTCCAAGACAATTACTGAGCAGACCTTCCCAAGCACATTCTGCAACTCTGTCTGATTTCTCTGGGTGGAATAGTCAGCACTAAAAAAATGCTCTTTTCTTTCCCACTCCTCACTTCTCATTCCCCTTATGCAGAGGAAGAGCCTCCCCTTTGGGGCAGCTTCATCTTACTTGAACTTGGAGAAGCTGGGTGAAGGTTCTTATGCTACAGTTTACAAAGGGATTAGCAGATAAGTGACTCATTAGCTTGGAGAGAGTTTAGAGACGAGGCTCTCACCCCCAGGATTTGACATTATGAAGCCAGATGACACATGGCAGTAATTCAGGACCTATGCAAGACCCCAGTGTCAATAGGGAAAGACATAATGACTGAAGTAGCCTTGAAAGAAAACAAACTTTCCTTGCCCCAATTAAAATCAGCCCATAAGATGTTTATCAGCCTTTCCTCCTTTTGATTCAATTCAAATTAAACTTTCTCAACTACTGACCATCACTTGGTGGGGAGTAGAGTGGGTAAGGTGTCATATCCTTCCTGAAACACGACAACAGTTTCACTAACACCCTTGAGTTTGCTCCTTCCTTCTTCTACTTTGCCTTTTTAGAAGATACTGAAGTTGGTTTCTACAAAGTAAGACCTAGTATGCAAAATTTATTTATCCTGGGTTTTCTACACTTGCAAATTACACAAAAATGGCTGGAGAATAAAAAAGACTGTTAATCCAGAAAGCAAATACCCATTTTGGTTAATAAAAACTGTGTTAAACATGTTTGAGAGAGTCATGAACTTCACTGCTTTTTCAAGGTGGGATAGTCAAGAAGGTCTGATTTCTTTAATTTATGTTACTGCAGTGGAGACAAATAATGGCTCAAAGTGGTTAAATGTTAATTTTTAAAAATTTAATATAAATACTACAAAACTAAGTATTTATAATATATCTTAATATTTGTGGTATTGTTTTTACTTGTTAAAGGGGAGTTTGGAAGAGATGCCATTTTAGATATATTATGTAGAAACAAGATATAACTCACTTCCATAGACTATCTTAGGAACTAAGAATATAAAAAATTTCCTTCAAAAGATTCATCCTAGTAATAGAATGAAAAATACACTAGAAATACATACTCTGTCCAAGTTCACAGAGATGTATGTAACTGTATATTAATTGCAGCAAGATTTATAATAGAAGGGGTGAAAACCTGGTTACCAATATCCATTAATGGAGGACTGGCTAAATTATTACTATATAGTGAAATAGTATGCAAACATCTAGAGTATAAGATAGACATATATGAAGAAAAGCAAGTTACAGAACAATACATGATCTCATTTAGGAAAAAAAGGACTGTTCATGTATAAATTTGTACGTGCTTAGAGGAATCTGGAAAAATCTAAAAGGAACTATTGAAAGTAGCTAGTTTTAGTGGTTGAAACTGGAATGGAGAAAGATCACTCAAACTTTTCATTGTATTTCTTACCATAAAAGCATTATATTCATAATTTAAAAACAAATTAAAACATATCATAAAGATAGATGTCAAGAAAGCATTTTATAAATTCAACATCAATTACTAGTTTTTAAACTCTGAACAAAATAGGAATAGAATGATAATTACTCATTATGATGTAGAGTAGTTTCAGATCAACAACTTATACACTTTTTCTTTGTTCAATACTAGTGACATCACCATTAAGTTAGAGATAGGGCAAGACTGCTCATCATTTTCTATTGTTAAAGATTATCAGAAGCGTTCTAGCCAATGCAACAAGGGGAAAAGACTGAATATAATTTTTATGGATTATAGAATTGTCTACTTAAAAAATCCCAAGAGAATCATCTAAGAAACTTGAAATAGTGATATAGAACAACTAGGTCATCAGTTATAAAATAAAAATATACTTATTAATGATTGCCTTATGTATTAGCAACAACCATTTAATGGAAAATATTGTAGGAGAAATTATTCTTAAAATAACAACAATAAAAAGTCATTAGTATTAAAAAATGGGCAGGATTTATATATAAGATTTACTAAAGGACATAAAAGACTTGAGAAAGCCAGAAAGGCATTCATTCTACTCGTATTTACTATATTGTTGCTGTTGTTTAGTCACTGAGTTGTGTTCATTTCTTCTGCAACTTCATAGACTATAGCCTGTCAGGCTCCTCTGTCCATGGCATTACCCAGGCAAGAATACTGGAGTGGGTTGCCATTTCCTTCTCCAGAGTATCTTCCTGACCTAGGGACTGAACCAGCATCTCCTGCATTGGCAGGGTGGATTCTTTAGCACAAGCTACCAGGGAAGCCCTACTTACTATGTGCCAGGCACTAATTTAGCCAATAAGTATTCACTGGAGGAAAAAAGTGATAAGTATGGAGTGTATGTTCTAGGGGTGATAAGAGAGGCAATAAACAAACAAACTCTTTGACCAAGTTTGTCAAAGAGTGAAAATGTTGGAAAAGAATAAAACAGGGAAGAGGAATAGGGAGTGCCAGCGTGGGGTGGTAAATTACTATTTTAAACAGAGTGATGAGAGGCGGGCTCACTGAGAAGGGAACACTTGAACGGAGATTCTGACAAAGGTGAGGCATGAACCGTGTGGGTGTGTGGTGGAAGAGGACCTCAGGCAGAGGGAACAGCAAGCAGCAAACCCCTGAGGCAGGAGCGTGCCTGGCATTGGAGGCAGTGGGCAGAAGGACTTGAAGGTAGGAGGAGTTGCAGATACAGTGGGGCCATTGTGTAGGGTCTTGTAGATCATTCCAGGGACTCTGTAAGGGTATTTAGATTAAAAAACCTAGTAATACAAAGGTGTTAATGATTCTGTAATCTAGAGTTTCAATGTATTCTAAATGTGTTCAATACCTCAGATATGCACTTTCTACCCTTATGGCAGAAAGTGAAGAGGAACTAAAAAGCCTCTTGATGAAAGTGAAAGAGGAGAGTGAAAAAGTTGGCTTAAAGCTTAACATTCAGAAAACTAAGATCATGGCATCTGGTCCCATCACNAGCTGACTCATTGGAAAAGACCCTGATGCTGGGAGGGATTGAAGGCAGGAGGAGAAGGGGACGACAGAGGATGAGATGGTTGAATGGCATCACCAACCCGATGGACATGAGTTTGAGCAAGCTCCAGGAGTTGGTGATGGACAGGGAAGCCTGCCGTGCTGCAGTCCATGGGGTCACAAAGAGTTGGACACGACTGAGTGACTGAACTGAACTGAATATACAATCACGGTGGCATGTCAAATCAACAGGGAAAAAAGACAGTTCAGTAAATGGAGTTGGGATGATTGCTAGCAATTCAGAAAAGGTAGATAGACAATATGAATCCCCAGTGGGTAAAGGAGTTGAAAAGAAACAATGCAAGAGCTGGAAGAATAAACAAGTGCAGTCTATGTAACTTCTGGACTGGAAAGGTCTGTCTGTGCATAGCACTTAAGTCAGAACCTATTAGGGAAGATTGGACGTGTTCATGATGGCCCATCCATCCAAGCACATTCTAGGGACCCCTCGATTCTGAGATACTTTAATAGAGGTTCACTGAAACAGTTACCATGGTCAAATTGACACAGGTAACCCTAGATCAAAAAATAATGTGATCCTTCATCATAGGTGCTCTCAGCATCTTCAAAATGTTGATGTATAGCATGACTGTCTAAAAAAGATTAAGAAAAGTTTTAAAGTATAAAGCATTTTCTAAGCATATTTGACTTCCCTGGTGGCTCAGATGGTAAAGAGGCTGCCTGCAATGCAGGAGACCTGAGTTCAATCCCTGGGTCAGGAAGATCCCTGGAGGAGGAAATGGAAACCCACTCCAATATTCTTGCCTGGAGAATCCCATGGATGGAGGAGCCTGGAGGGCTACAGTTCATGGGGTCGCAGAGAGTCGGACACGACTGAGCGACTTCAGTTTCATATTTGAAAAGAAAATTTTTAGCATAGGGGGTGGGGAAAACTTCACAGACCTATTCTCTGAGTAAAGCATTTTGGAAAATACTGAATGTCATAAGACATTTAAAGTTTAAAATTTCAAAGAAATGATAAGGCAAACAAAAGAAACTGGTAAGAGGTATGTGCAAAATACTTCCCCAAAAAATGGACAAATAGGTGAACTACAAAAAAAAATAAAAGACCAAGAAACTTATAAAAATTCAGTTCCACAAGTAGTTAAAGGAATAGAAATTAAAATGGAATCATCCTTTTCACCTTTTAAAAAGACCAAAACCGAAGATAAAAGCATGCATCTGATAAACAAGCCCCACATTTGTGGAAATATGTCAAAAGGACCCAGAAGCCAACTGAAAAAGCTCCCAAAGAACAAATGTGGAAAATTTTGAGCAACAAAATAAAATAGTATTGGGTTGTAACCCAAAGTATAAAATGAATATCTATGAGTTCAAAGTGCTATTAATAAGTAGTTTGGTTAATTAATAAATGGGAGAGAAGAGGCAATTTCCAGAAAATTTGTGTAACTATTCTACCTTCAAGCTGGCAGAGCATAACTTTCTACTCTTGAAGTGTGGGCTACTGAGAGTGACATTCCCCCAAAATATTGTATGGAAAGGGATTGGGGGAGAATAAATTCAGTGAAAAAACCTGAGAGATATTACCTGAACCAAGTGATTAAGGCCACACCAAAAGTCATCTATTATGACGACAGCATGTGCCTCTAATATGATGTGACAAAACCAAAACCCATCACCATGGTCTAATCATAAGAAAAACATCAGAAAAATTCCAATAAAGAGGTATCCTACAAAACACTTGACCAGTACTCCTCTAAATTGTCAGTGTCATCAAAAACAAGGAACGTCTGGGAAATTGTCACAGCCAAGAGGTGCCTAAAGAGACATGACAACTAAATGCAATATTGTGTCCTAGATGAGATCATAGACTAGAAAAAGGACATCAGGTAAAAACTAAAGTAATCATATTGCAGTATATAAATGTATCAAGTCAACCTGTTGCATACCTTAAACTTCCAGGGTTTATATATATACAATGTATATATATTGTATATGAATATACAATGCTATATATCTCAGTTTTTGAAAAGACTAAGGGAGGTAAATTGATTTTCATAAATTTATACATATCTAGAAAGAATAGTTTCTGTGAGAAAGCATTTTGAAATGAAATTGGAAAGTTGTAATAAACTTGTAAATGCTATTTTAAAAGGCAATATACAACAGCAAATGAATTTTTAAAACTTAAAAATCATCTACTGTATAATCATTCCATCCCTTTAGCATAGCCATATGCACATGTGCATTTTGTCTTCCACATGCACATAGATTATTTCGTTACAAATATGGTGTGCTTGCTGTTATGTATTCTATTTTTCATAGTATCATAAATTTTTATGGTTTTTTAAAATTTAATTAATTTATTTTTGACCATACTAAGTCTGTTGCTGCGTGGGCTTTTCTCAAGTTGCAGGAAGCAGGGGCCATTCTCTAGTTGCAGCGGCCTCTCTCGTTGCGGAGCACGAGCTCTAGGGGATGCAGGCTTCAGTGGCTGCAAGGTGTGTAGCTCAGTAGTTGTGGTCCTCGCTGCTAGAGCACAGGCTCAATAGTTGTGGTGCACAGGCTTAGTTGCTCTGTGGCATGTGGGATCTTCCCAGACCCAGGGATCAAAACTGTATCTCCTCCTGTATTGGCAGGCAGATTCTTTACCACCCAGCCACCGAAGCCTCATGTTTCTTTCTATATGCCTCTGGACTCAACTTTTGTTATGAATGCAAAATACTCTTCTATACTGATGTACCACAAATTTTTTACCTGTTTCTCTAATGTTGAACATTTCAGCTATTTCTATTTTTTTCTCTATTGTAACTAACACAACAATGTCTTTCATTACTTGGAATTATTAAAATCTTTGTTAATTAGCATTATTGGGAAAAATCCTGAGGATGATGATCTCATGGCTTTTCATATGTGTGATCATGTTATGGTGGTGTTTAGTTGTTAGGTTGTGTTTGACTCTTGCGAGTCCATGGACTGTAGCACGCCAGGCTTCTCTGTCCGTAGGATTCTCCAGGCAAGGATACTGGCGTGGGCTGCTATTTCCTTCTCCAGAAGATCTTCTCCACCCAGGAATCAAATCTGGGTCTCCTGTATTGCAGGCATACGCTGCAATACTGAGCTATGATGGAATCCCATGATCATGTTGAAAAGTGAAAGTCACTCAGTCGTGTCTGACTCTTTGTGACCCCACGGACTGTAGTCCATGGAATTCTCCAGGCCAGAATACTGGAGTGGGTAGCCTTTCCCTTCTCCAGGGGATCTTCCCAACCAACCCAGGGATCAAACTCAGGTCTCCCGCGTTGCAGGCTGATTCTTTACCAGCTGAGCCACAAAGGAAGCCCAATAATACTGGAGTGGGTAGCCTGTCCCTTCTCCAGTGGATCTTCCCAACCCAGGGTCTCCTGCATTGCAGGCAGATTCTTTACCAACTGAGTTAGTTATACTCTCCCAAATTTTACCAATTTACAGTGCAACCCACAACAAGCAATACAATTTTACTGCAAAAAAACCCTAAAGAATTCCTAATAAACTATGGACTTTATTAATAATTATGTATCAATATTGCCTCATTAATTCAACAAATGTATGATACTAATATAAGTATGAAAACAATAGAAGAAAATGGATGTCAGGTATATGGGAACCTTCTCTACTATCTTCCCAACTTTTCTGTAAATCTAAAACTGTTCTAAAAAATGAAATATTGAAGCAACAACAATGAAAAGCAAAGAATCTGTCTGGTGTCAGTGAGTGGGTGCTAGAATGGCCAGCCTCATGACCAGTTAGTGGTGCGAACACTCTGTGACAAAACATGTGTGCAAAACAATAAAAACTTGTGTGCTGCATACTCTGACTTAGCAATTCTACCTCAACCCTGGAAAAAGAACAGAGGCTGAGTGAAAAGACTTACCTGCAAATACAAACAAATATGATTGTCAGGGTATTTTTATAATAGTCAAAATTTAGAGACAATATTAAAATATTTGGAACTGGCAAAACACATCATAGCATGTTTATCTGATAAAATATTATTATTAAATATCACAATACAAAAATGACTATAAGTTAAATGGAGAAAAAAACTAATAATATGATATAAAATCCACTGTATTAAAAAACAGTATAGTTACACTTGGATTAAAATCTTCTCTGTTTTCTGGCATTTAGCTTACATCAGCAAACAGAATAATGAATAACTGGAGAGTAGGAGGTGATGAAGAGAGAGAGAATGGTGGGACTGGGCAGGTTAGGTAGCACCTAGGATCCGATTTTAAGAATTTGGCTTTTATTCAGGATGAGATGTGGAGACAATGTTGGGTTTTGAGCACAAAAGTGACTTGTTTTGACTTTCACTTTAAAAAGATTCCCTGAACTACCATTGGGAGTGGATAGTTGGGGTACAAACATATAAGCAGAAACGCTGTTAGGAGTTCATTACAATAGTTAAGATGAAAAATAAGGATGGCTCAAATCAGTGCACAATGGTAAATAAAAGGAACAATATACATCGAAATATGAGGATGGCTTTGTTAGGTTTGTCTTCTGTACTTTCCTATATTCTCCATATTTTCTGAAATGAATATATATCACTTTGGTAAAGAGAAAACAATGGTTTGATATATACATATGACTTTTAAAACTTTTTATTTTGAGAAAATTGTACATTTTATATGCTGGAACAAAATTTGAAGGAAAGTTACCTTTGTTAAGCCATCTTTAGTATAAATTGCTACTATGAGCCATGTTGACAAACGTGGGCCCTTCNCCTTCCCCCTCCCCCCCCCCCATTCTTCCAGGATAAATGGACAACTAGTGGCTTTAAAAGTCATCAGTATGAATGCAGAGGAAGGAGTCCCATTTACAGCCATCCGGGAAGGTAAGAACAGTAGAGTGGACCCAAGAGATGTTTTAAGTTTTTGATTTCGATAAAAACACATTGAATCTATCCATTCATCTTCTAGCTTTTGATATTTATAGAAGTAATGTTATAATTGTAATTTTATTCTTCACACCAGTTTTCCAAATCATTTTATTACTTACTCTTGAAGAAATTAGAATTCAAATCTATTATATTAGTTGACCAAAACTATTAATTCAATGAGTATTTACTAAATATCATCTGCGAGTTTGGTCCCATGCTACGTGCTAACGCCATTATCTACATAACCCTAGAAAGATCCATACAAAGGAGAGAATTAATATATTTACAAATCCTAGGTAAGCAACTTACCTGAAAATAAGTTCTTTAGATAGTATTTGAAAAACTCTCTGGGAAAACATGTATTTTTAGTGTTGTGCCTATATTTTCTCTGAACCTCAGGTGGTAGAACAAGTAGATGAGAAGTCTGATGTCAGTAGGACTTGGGCTTGAAACTTAGAGATCTACAGATTACTAGTGCTGTGACCATGGGTGGATTACTTTTCTTATTTAAGACTGTCTATTGCAGAAAGAGGATTTGTTGTTCAGTCTCTCAGCCGTGTCTGACTCTTTGTGATCCTGGGGACTGCAGCATGCCAGGCTTCCCTGTCCTTCACTATCTCCCGGAGTTTGCTCAAACTCCTATCCATTGACTCAGTGATGGCATCCAATCATCACATCCTCTGTCATCCCCTTCTTCTGCCCTCAATCTTTCCCAGCATTGGGGTCTTTTCCAATGTGTTGACTCTTCGCATCAGGTGGCCAAAGTATTGGAACTTCAGCTTCAGCATCAATCCTTCCAATGAATATTCAGGGTTTATTTCCTTTAAGATTTGGTTTGATCTCCAATACCTATTTCTTTGAATTATTATGAGGGTTAAATGACAATATGCATATAAAACACTAATCACAGGGTTCATCTTCAGAGTTCAACATGTTGGCAAATATCATTATCTTTTTGTTCCTTTCTTTTAGTGATGTCTCGTTCACTATCAAGATAACTAAAAATTTATAATTTAAAAATCAAGAAGCCAGTACAGTGAAAATAAATTATTAAATGCAACTTATTAGCCTTCTTACATGAGCCATTTGAAATAAAATGATAATAGAATTACTATCCTTTTCATCAAAAATCCAGAGAAATGGCTCCTCTCTGGTCTTTCTTCTCCCCTTTTAACAACTTCATCTTCCCTTTTTTATGGAGCACATACTGTATACAAAGCATACTGCAGGGTGTTATGAAAGATGAGAAGAAAGATCTTATCTTTGCTATGTATCTTTTCAGTTGTAATAGAGCAGATGGTTCAGGTTGTAGGCGTTTTTTTATTGAGGTTAAAAAGGCCTTTTTCACTTGGGTTGCCGCCCATTCGTTTTCGTTTTGGTTATTAGAGTCAATAGATTTTGAACTGGGCTTGGAGGATGGGTCATGCAAACAGGCTTGGGAAAAGCAATTCAGAAAATGAGTTTATAACTGAATTTGATGCCATTTTCAAAAGGCTTCCAGAGCCCCTGGGAAATGTGTCATTCTGAATTTCAGTAGAAAGACCAAATGGCTATGCGGCTAGCCGGGGCTTCAACCTGGTAGGATCAGGTGCATTCTGGAGGAAAGTGTGTTTTTAAGTGTTTAATATAATGGACGCTGTATTTACTGATGGACTTATTAGTGGTCCCCATGAAAGGATGATCAGATTTAGAAAGAGATGTGTGCACAGGCTGAGGAGTATTTCTGAGCATAATAGACATCCCAGGTGACCAGCATAAGGCATGGGCTCTAGGCCCAGGTTCACCCTCTTCTCACAGTGTTTCCTTCCTTTGTGAGGTGCATTTGCCTGTTGCTACAGGCCTGCCTTGCTCAGATTTTCTCCACAGCCAAGTTTCTTTCAGGTTGACATTTGACTTTTAACAGCGAAAACTTTGCCGGTTTTGCTAACAGATGGTTCTCAGCATGGTTCAGAAATGCTGGATCTGCATTGTTCTGTATGCTAAATGTTTCCTTTATTTCTTATTTACTGAGGAATTGCCTCTCCATCACAGGTGTTTGCAATTACTTTTAGTATTCAACTGTGGACTTTCTTGGTTTGTTTTATGGACTTACCTTACTGAATGCTCTGCTTGTTTAATATGAAAAACCACAAAAGGATTTTTTTTGACACACTGGGGGTTGTTAGGCATCCAGTTTCCAACAACGCATGTTTCTTTTTCCACCAGGGTAAGTGCTGGGAGCCCTTGATAGAGGAGCCCTCTCTCCTCAAGAAGACATGAGGCCTCATTTGAAAACTTTGGCAGTGTCCCATTTTTCCTGTAAGAACTTTAAGGATGTGAGGCCAGGGAGACAGGAGGTTAAACGAGAAGGGCTGGAAGGCAAAAGAAGAACAGCTGGAGTTCATTAGTTAAAATCCAGGGTCACTAGCTAAAAAGGCAACCGAAAGCCACGTGCAGAAAAACTAAATGAGCAATGCAGACTTCTCTAAAAAGCCTTGCAGTAGGAATTACTTCTCCTGAAGTTTGGCTGCTCTAATGGTGTATCAGCCAAAGATTCACTGAGTAGGATTTTACTGTATGTGCAGTCTCTATATGTATAGGTAGAAAGCATGTAGCAATTTATTAATCTGGTCATTTAGAATATTATTTGATTGTAACATGTAATGTAATGAAATTAGCAAAAGCATGCACAGCACTAAGGGAAATATACCTTAATACATGTGCCAGATATTTTTCATGTGTTAACCTCTTTCAGTCCTTTGGAGGTAGATATTGTTATGATTCCAGTACAGAGCTGTGAGTCAAGCAAAATCTCTCTGAGTCAAAATCCATACACTCTTCCTGCATTCATTCCACGAGTATTCATTGAGCACCTACTATGGCCAGGTATTTTACCGGCTGCTATATACACAGCAGCGGACACGATAGGCATGCTGCCCATCCTTATTCCTCTGCTAGTTAAAAAGATTAGCCACCTTCATTGAAACTTACAGAATCTTTCCCAATGGGCTCTATATTTTAAATGTTTGTTTTTGCAACTAGGAGATAACACTTTCATTGGAATAGGCTAATATGAAGGTTTTATATAAGAACATGTTCCCTAGTTTTATTAACCTATGTATCAATGTCTTAATAATGTACATTATTTTAAATATCTTTCTTTAAAAATAGAAACTTTGTTTAAAAAGCACTTCCAGGACTTTCAGCCCATTAGCGGCATTCATTAGGAAGCATTCATAGAACTAATCTTTTTTGAGGACTGGGCACATAATATAATCTTCCCCCCACCTCAATCTTTTTTTTGAACCTTTACATCAACTCTAGTTGGTAAAGTGTGATTTTTGTTGTAGTGATGAAGGAGTTTGAACTTCAGAGAGGTTAGATAACTGGGCAGAGGTCACAGAGCTATTATTCAGAAGCATTACATATTCAAATCCATTCTATTCTATTCCAAAGCCTTTCTACTTTATTATGGTAAAGTTAGGAATGCTTAACTCAAGCACTTTTTCCTTTTTGCAAAAGTAAAAATAAAAAATAAAAATAGAAATCTTTTTATGAAGCATGTTTTATAAATATTAAGTAAATTCAAGAGAAACATTTTAAAGAAAATATACAATATTGTATATTTGTCAATTCTGATTCTTTCATATACTCTATAGCACTATAATTCCAAATCGTTAAGTTATAAAACGGTTTCAGCTGAGAATTTTTTAAGATCATTCTCTAGTAGAAAACATTGTGGAGTAATTATTTTCAGTCCATATATAAGAAAAAGCCAGAAATAGACAAAGACCTGCAAGGTGAAATAGTGAAGTGTTGTTTTTGTTCACTCAGTCGTGTCTGACCTTTTGTGACCCCATGGACTGCAGCACGCCAGGCTTCCCTGTCCTTCACCATCTTCCAAAGCTTGCTCAAACTCATGTCCATTGAGTCAGTGATACTTAGTTGCTTAGTCATGACTGACTCTTTGCAACCCCATGGACTGTAGCCTGCCAGGCTCCTCTGTCCATGGGGATTCTCCAGGCAAGAATACTGGAGTGGATTGCCATGCCCTCCTCCAGGGGATCTTTCCAAGCCAGGGATCGAACCCAGGTCTCCCTAATTGCAGGCAGATTTTTTTACCATCTGAGCCACCAGGGAAGCCCAAGAATACTGGAGTGGGTAACCTATCCTTTCTCTAGGGGATCTTCCCGACCCAGGAATCAAACCAGGGTCTCTGGCATTGCAGGCAGATTCTTTACCAGCTGAGCTACCAGGGAAGCCCAGAGGGGCCTTTAGTGACCTAATAATAACCTGTTATTGAAGATACAAGAGCCAGTCCTCAGCCCTTCCCACTCATCTGGGCTCCCCAAGTTTGGCTCTCTCCTCTTTTTTAACTTTGAATTTCCTCCTTTCCACAGGTTTTCAATTCTCCCATTGTGAAATGGAAATCCCCTCCACTCTCTATATTATGCTTCGGCAATCCTTCATCCCATGCTCTTATCCCTGCCCTCCATCTGTCACATCCACAGGCCCTGCTGACCTCCTGTGGGACTTTGAATTTCAGAGTGTGGTCACATCTTGCAAAGTCTTGCTCTGGAAGGCAGAACATCCCTTTCCCCGCTCCTCCAATGGCCTTTATCTCTCCAGGCTTCCTCTCCTATAGCTCTGAAGCAGAGTTGATAAGCTTTCCAGAGAAAGGCATGCTCAAAGTGCTCTGAGTACTTTGGTGAAATTGATTGGGTATATGGAATCTTTTTTTTTTTTTTTTGCAACTGCTCTGGTCTGTAAGAAAAATAAGTTACATAAGTGCAATGACTGACCATTTACTAAATAATGAAGTTTTAAAAATAGTTTTAATTATTTCACAACAAGAAATTTTTTCCAGGCTTGAAAAATCAGAATGCTTGATTTGAAATGTTTAAAAAGCAAATAGTGCTTGATATTTTTAAAGCAGTACTTTCATGATCAATGATTTAATTAAATTTTTGTTTAATTTCTAGCTTCACTCCTGAAGGGTTTGAAACATGCCAACATTGTGCTGCTGCATGACGTAATACACACCAAAGAGACACTGACGTTCGTATTTGAATATGTGGTGAGTTGTCCCAGCATTTTACAAAGTGTAAGGGAAAAGCCTGGTGCTCATATGAGGAATCTGTTAATATTTTATGGCATCACAGAACTTTCATAACCATGTGAAAGTGTTGTGGAAATTTTCGTTATTGGAAATTTCACTATTCTTCTTATGCTTTTTTACCTACTATTTTTGTTGCCTTTTTCCCTCTCACCAACAAGAATAAACATTTTGAATTTGCCTCCTAAATAAAACTTTTGCACTTATTTTTAAATCTAGTTTTAATCACTATCTGAGGAGAGACCACAAATTTTTTCATTGACAATAATGACATTAAACCACATAAAAAACTCCATACAAGTTTACTAAAAAATAAATCATTTTGTATTTTTGAAAGATAAAAGCCATTCAAATATTAGCAGAAAGAAAGAATGAGATATGTCTACTTGGCTTGCTTTTCAGGACACTTGGAGAGTACAAATGTCCCCACATCATCGTGTTCAGCGGCAGTTGTTTAGAATGAACCTCTCTTGTATGGTTTCAATACCTTTAGACCATAAAATTTTTACACCTTGTTTTATGTTCCTGGATATGTTCCAGTGTCTCCAGTTTACAGTCGATGGAGATTTGAATAGAATTTGTATCTTAGTGGTGTGTGAAAATTGTATAAATCTTAATTATGTTGAGTTGGTTGACAGTGCTTATCAGGTCTACTATATCCTGCTGCTTCTCAGTATATTCATTCTAGTAATTTTTGAGTATGATATTGATACTCCAACTAAAAATCTTAATTTATCTACTTTAAAACATTATAATATATAGTGGAACTATATGTAACCTTGTTCTGTATTTTCCAATGTCTCCGGTAAATGTGTTATCTTACTTTCATAATTTAAAAAAATAAATAAATAAATAGGGAAAAAAATAATAAAAAAAATGAATACATAAATAAATAATAAAAATTAAATAAAATGAGCCTCTCTTGTGTCAAGAAACAGGGTTCCTTCTAAGAGCAGCTAATTAGAAAGACACACTCCATTTGACTTTAACAGTGGTGTCTCAGCAAACCTGCTGTGTGCCTTTTGCACGTTATTCTCAAAAATCCTGAGCTTTGCAGTCCTTCTGAGAGTCCAGTCTGTGGCCTGCTTTTGACCCTGACCAACCACCACTAACCTCGCTCTCGCCACCGTTTTGTGTGGCACACAGACCTGGCTCAGTATATGTCTCGGCACCCGGGAGGGCTCCATCCTCATCATGTGAGGGTGAGTACCCTGAGGGCCGGGACTCCCCCCTGGCTTGCCCACAGCAGGAGAATTCTGAAACAGACTGCCTTCACACAGTGAAAGCCCAGGATACCAGGTAAGAGGATGGACACCATTGATATTCTAGAGAAAAGTTTAAAAAAAAAAAATCTGCCCTCAAGATATGGAGCCAAGTCCAGCTGCTTTCTGGGCAACCTAACCCTGTCAGTCATCACCATCAAGCAAATGTGTCTTTAAAAGTATAACCCATTTAAAAAGAATTGCCTTAAAAGGAAAGAAGTGAAGTTAAGCTATCATAAAATAAATACTTTCTTCATAGCAGACTACTGTGCTCTGTGATAAAGTTCACGTTGCACTTAAAGTTCCCAGCTAGAGCTAGCAAACTACCTTGATTGGTTATTTATCAGTTATCTTTTTGTCTGTTCTATTAGATCCTATTACATGTGGGACCAACTTCCATCTTTCCAGTTATTGGAATAGAAATAATATTAAACTCTTAACGAGCTGTAATTCCACATTTGTTATAAATTTTAGAAACCATTTGTATGTCATACTTTTCATTCTCTAAGGTTTTATTGGCATTAATTGATTGGCCCTTAACATAACCATATGAGATTTGTATATGATGTATCCATTCATTTAACTAATATTTATGTGTTCATTTATTCATTCATTCAAGATATATTTGAGTACTCAGTACCATATTAAATCCTAAGGTTTCAATAATGAGTAAGCTGTGTTTCTTATTTTCAATGAGCTGAAGCCCAGTAAGATATATGGACTTCAGTTCAGTTCAGTTCAGTTGCTCGGTCATGCCTGACTCTTTGTGGCCCCATGAATCACAGCACGCCAGGCCTCCCTGTCCATCACCAACTCCTGGAGTCTACCCAAACTCATGTCCATTGAGTCGGTGATGCCATCCAGCCATCTCATCCTCTGTCATCCCCTTCTCCTCCCGCCTTCAATCTTTCCCTGCATCAGGGTCTTTTCCAATGAGTCAACTTTTCACATGAGGTGGCCAAAGTATTGGAGCACTCCAGGATTACTATATGTATATTTTTACAACATATTAACCTATTTTATTATGCTTGCCTGGCTTTATGTAAACCAGCAAGACTTAAGTATACTCCCATAACTGTGTTGACTGGCTCTATTGCTAGTATAATTAATAATGTGCTTATGTGCCCAGTCTTGCCTGACTCTTTGCGACCTCATGGACTGTAGCCTACCAGAGGTTTGTGCTGCAGGTCTGTGAGTCTGTTTCTTAGATAAATTCATTTGTGTCATGTTTTAGATTCCATATACAAGTGATACTTGTCTTCCTCTGTCTGCCTTACTTAGCTCACTGTGATGCATCAGTGTTGCTGTAAAAAGCATTGTCTCATCCCTTTTTATGGCTGAGTAATATTCCACCATGCATACGTCCCACATCTTTTTCTTCCATTCTTCTGAGGATGGACACAAGTTTTTTCCATGACTTTGGTTATTGCGAATAATGTTGCTATGAACACTGGGGTACCTGTATCTTTTCGATCTCATGTTTTGTCTGGAAATATGACCAGGATTCTGGTGTCATATAGTAATTATGTCTTCGGTTTTCAAGGAACCTCCACACTGATTTCCATAGTGGCTGCACCAATTTACATTCCCACCAGCAGTGTAAGAGGGTTCCCTTTTCTCCACACCCTCCCTAGCACTTACTGTTTGTAGACACTCTAGTCATGGGAATTATTAAAGTGTGAGCTGATTGCTCATTGTCCCTTTGACCTGCATTTCTCTAGTAATCAGTGATTTGGGCATCTTTTCATGTGCCTTTTGGCTATCTGTATGTTTTCTCGGGAGAAAGGTCTGTCTAGGTCTCCTGTCTATTTTGTTTTTGATTGAGTCGTTTGTTTTTCATTGTTGTTGACTTACATGAGCTGAAGAGTCTTTTATAACATATGTAACTGCTGAAAACTTGAAACAATACAGATGTCCACCAACAGTGGAATGAATAAATTTGTTGTGGTTGTTGTTTAGTCCCTAAACCATGTCCGACTCTTTTTGTGACCCCATGGACTATAGTCCGCCAGGCTCCTCTGTCCATGGGATTCTCCAGGCAAGAATACTGGAGTGGGTTGCCGTTTCCTTCTCCAGGGGATCTTCCTGACTGAGGGATCAAGCCTGCATCTCTGGCATTGGCAGGCAGATTGTTTTCCACTGAGCCACTTGTGAAGCTCCAAATTAGGAAATACATGGAAGCTATTTCCTGTAAGCGCATCTCTGAAATGATGGAAATGAATGGCTTCTTGCTACATCACACCTAATCTCCTTTCACATTTGAATGTCTCCACTATAAGGATGAGCTGAGACATCTTCAGTTAAAGAGAACTTTCGGAATCATTTCCTNGGCTCTTTAGTTCTTCACTTTCTGCCATAAGGGTGGTGTCATCTGCATATCTGAAGTTATTGATATTTCTCCCAGCAATCTTGATTCCAGCTTGTGCTTCTTCCAGTCCAGCGTTTCTCATGATGTACTCTGCATATAAGTTAAATAAGCAGGGTGACAATGTATAGCCTTGACGTACTCCTGTTCGTATTTGTAACCAGATAGGTGGTGAGAAGCAAGGTGATGAGGGCTATGGCCATGTTAATTAGGAATACTATGAGGACTCATAGTTAGGGGACTCCAGTCATGGAGGCAAGGGGAAAGGAAGGTTTGAAGACAGGGTTTTGAAGAGAATGAAAACATTTAAAAATACTCAGAGGAAACTGAAATAGAAAACTAACGAGGGGGACCAAGAAGGAATGTCTAGTAGTGTGTTAAGGACTCTGAGGAGGATGGAATCCATTAAGTTATCTGCATGACCATGGGATTTCTTTTTTATTTTTTTAATGGCAGCACTTAGTTCATATAGAGAAGCAGAGAAAGTAGAAAGTTGGACCGATTGAGAATTGGGGCTGTGCCAGACATGTGAGAGGAAAAGACAGTTGGGTCACATATTTGGAGACTATCAAGAGAGAGGCTAAAGGGATGGTCAGGGGCTTCTAAACTGAGTCCAATCTGAGGGAAGGAAGTGAAGACAGGCAGGTTACTGATAGCTAGAGAGAGAGCAGAAGAGTCAAGCAGCCAGAGGTTTGATTAAATAGAACAGTTGGAGAAGGAGTAACTGTGAGAAAGATAGAAAATTTTCAGGCTTGAAGGACTCTTGTAGCAAGCACTATGCTAAGTGTTTAGCAGGACAGAAAGATGCAGAAGACATGATTCCTATCCTCGAAGGATGTGAAGCCAAAAACAGGAGCTAAGATAGACACCACCACTATTCCAGGACATCAGTGAATACCAAGTAAGAAATAAGACCTAATGCTGCAGATGTGCAAGGAAGTAAAAGATATCTTCTCATTTTAAGAGGTTTTGATAAGCCAGACCTTACAAGCTGCAATGCTTTTCAGAGGCTGAAATAGGGGAAGATGCTAGAGGAGGAAGGAATGCTTTCAGCGAAGGTTCAGAGCAGGGAAGTAGAGGGTTCAAGGAAGAAGATCCCAGAGCCACACGGACTGTTGGGGTTGAAGGGACTATAGTGTTTTCCACTCTCCAGGTGCTAGTCCATTAGTGGGTTATGAAATCAACTGGTAATCAGCAACCAGCATTTTTTTTTTTTAATGAAATGGAATGAGTGAGAAGGGAATGTGTATCTGCGTGCTAAATCAATTCAGTCATGTCTGACTCTTTGGGACTCTATGGCCTGTAGCCACCAGTCTCCTCTGCCAATGGGATTCTCCAGGCAAGAATACTTACTGGTGTGGGTTGTCATGCCCTCCTCAAGGGGATCTTCCCGGCCCACAGATCAAATCCGCATTTCTTACTGGCAGACAGGCTCTTTACCACTAGTGCCACCTGGGAAACCCTCTTGAGAAAGGAATAGAAAATATTATAGTATGCAACACTTAGTAAGAACAAGTTTTATTTTGTGCAGCTTCTTTTCCATTAGAAACTGTGCTTATATCTATGTATGAGTGTGGAAACTGGAAGCATGCAAACTTGGGCAATGCAGTAAGGAAAAAAACACCTTAAAACACTGGGTTGGTCTAACTTCCTTATTTTGCAGAATTAGAATTCAAGTTTGAAAATAAATATTTTTCCTGAAGTTATAGAACCAGCTTTTGCCATTGCTCAAAGAGATTCTTGGTTGAGGTTCTTTTCCACTAGTGCCATCCTGAATCTCTGGTCCTGTTGGCCTGAAACAGATACTGTCTTAGTGACATGGAGTACATGAGTCTGGGGGAATAGATTGGGTAGGTGGCTGAGAGCCTTACTTTCTAAGATATGGATTTTATTTCTTAAACAGTAGAGTCATTAAAGGGGCTTGATTGAAAAAGAATGGCATGATCAGAAGGAAATTTATGTAATTGTGGTCTGTGGGATAGATTAAAGAGAGGTGGCTGGAGTCAAGGATTTCAGTTAGGAGGTTATCAATGTGGGCGAGCCCAGTGCTTCTCAAGCTTCAGTGAGCACACTAATGATCTGATTCAGTAAGTCTGATTCAAAGCTTGAGCTTTGCATTTCTCATATACTCCAAGGTGATACAGATGCTGCTGGCTGAGGACTAAACTTCGAGTGGCAAGGTTCTAGGTGAGAAGTGATAAAGGCCTAAATCAGGATAGTGAAGGTATGAACAGGAAGGACTGTGGAAAACAATAACAAAGAAGGGTTTGGCCAGGACATGAGGACAACAGTGGTGTAGATGTGAATTGGTGGTGGAAGAAAGTGGACATACGGCAGTTAATTACTTCACCAGAATTGTTGGGAGATGGAAGGATCAGCAGTGCTTTTCTAGCTTTAATTAATCATGTGGATGATGGCACCATTCACTGAAATAGAGAAATGGGAAAAATAGATTCTAGAGGGACACAGAGTTAAGTTCTGGTATACCGGGTTTGAGGTGCCTGAACTTCAGACTATATGATCCAACAGTTTAGGAAAGGTTTGAGGTGTCTGAACTTCAGACTACATGGGTCCAACAGTTCAGAAAAGAGATCTTAAGTGAAGCTAAAGACTTTCAAATTATCAGAATACAGTTGTTAATTGAAGCAATGTTAGTGGATAATATGGGTAAGGGGAACATGTAAGGTGATAACAGAAGGTCAACGATGGAGCCCTGAGGAATATCACCACATTAGATATCAGTAGAGAAAGTGGAGTCTATGGTAAGCACATTCAGAGAAGTAGGAGAAAAATTAAGTGGGGGAAAGAGCATCAGGAAGGAAGACAGAAGCAACAAAGCCAGATCCTGTAAAGAAGAGTGAAAGACATCCATTGGATTTTTGTAGCAAAGGACACTGGTGGGACTTCCCTAGTGGTCCAATGGCCAAGATTCCAAGCTCCCAATGCTGGGGGACCAGGCTTGATCCCTTTCAGGGAACTAAATTTCAAACATCACAAAAAAGATTGAAGATCCTACATGCCACAACTATGACCTGGCGCAGCCAAATAAAAGAATATTTTAAAAAGACGTTGGTGAGCACTGTGAAAACATTATGAATAAAGTGATTGTAGCAGAAACCATTTTTTAGGGGGAGGAATTTCACATTTCAGATGACAAACAGTTCTATATGATGGTGGGACCCAGTGTGTGACCATGGGCATGAGGGGCTGAAGTGGGTTGGAGAAGCAGATCGTTGGAGTGTGGAGGTTGGCTGGACATATTCACATGAGCACTGACGTCAAGGGAACAACAGCTGTGATGCAGGTGTCCAAGTCTTAAGTGAATGATGGAGAGTTGTGTGGATGACAGTGAGAAGAGGTGTAGAGGAAGATGGCATGGAAATCCAAGGACAAGTGTTTTTACATGAGGGTGGGTACACTGGGATCAAGTTAATGAGCACCATGGTCTGGTCTGAGAGAAGCAGGGTCCTGGGGAGCTTGCCTCCCACGGCACTGCTGTGGCTGTGTGGGCTCCATACAGGTCCCATATCAGGGTCCCCAAGCCATTTAAGGATGTTAAGATTTTCTTGAGGCTCCTCCTTCAGATGTTTGCTGGTTCTGTGAGGCTTTCTCATCCCAGTTCTTTCTCTTCCTGGTACTTCAAACACACACACTGTTATTCACTTTTTATTTACTTGTTATTCATTTTTACCATCACTCAACTGTCAAGGCACAAAAGTCCTACACTGACACATGAACACCTTCTTAAATGGCTTGGGGACCTTGATATGGGACCTGTATGGAGCCCACACAACCACAGCTGTGCCGTGGGAGGCAAACTCTCCAGGATCCTCTGTGCTCAGACCATGGTGCTTATCAGCTTGATTCCAGGGTGTCCAAGTCTTTGCTAGGTTATTACAGGTTCTATAAAAGCATCTCTGAAGTTCCTAGTTTCTAAGATGTGATGGAAAAAGTGAATTTATCTGCACAACTTTGTGTCTTCCATTAGGTCCGTGTCCCAGAAATGCTGGGGCTGGCTCTTTCTTTTCAAAACTGCCAGAACATGTTCTCAGTTGGCATAAGTCTTTGTAAACATTAACACTGGTGTTTACATTCTCAGTTGCCAGTTGCACTGGAAAACAGCAAAAGATACTTGGAATACTAAGCATTCTTTTTTTTTCCCCTTAGTCTTCTATATTGGTGGGACCCTACTAATGTCTTTGGTTTCTGTGCCTTGTAACCACCAGCAATGTTTTAAAATTTGGATCCAGGGTGTATTTTTCCTTTTGCTTCCCCTCACTTTTTTTTCTTCTCTCTACTATTTATTCCTTATTCTCTTTTGATTTTTTTTCTTGTTCTAATTTATTTTGGTGTCTTTTCCCTCTGAATCTATACTGTATATTTCCCTTGTTTTCACTTTGAACTTAAGACTTTAAAAATATGTTTTAAAAGATAATGGTTCCTTTATTTCCTAACACCATCTAAGGATATACTTCCCAGTCTGGTCTCCCTGTGTTCTGTTTTTAAAAGGGTTTTATATCAGAGAGCCTGGAAAACTTAAGCAGTTGTAAACCTTAGAATATCATTTCCAGGTCAACTTTGATCTTGTATGCCAAGTTCATTGGTGGGAAAAAATTAAATCTTTCACATCTAAATCAATAACTAGTGTTCCAAAGGAAACTTCAAAGTTTCACTGTAGATTTTTAAGGAAGGGTAATTCCTTCAGTATCAAAGAAATGAGATGTCAGGAAAAACCAGAATCCCTTTGTTTAGGACATGGTCTACTTATTTGACTTTCCTTGTCCTTTTTTTTTTTTTTCCTGTCTGAATGTAAAATCTTCCTTTTTTTTTTTTCTTTGGTCTCTTAAGAGACACTTTTACTATATTCTTTCAGATGACTGGTTTTGATTTAGGAGAGAAATCAACACATAGTGGCTCAAATCTGCTTAGATAAGGTGTTCATTCCTTCCAGCTTTTCATGTTTCAACTTTTGCGGGGCCTGGCATACATCCACCACCAACACGTTCTTCACAGGGACCTGAAACCTCAGAACTTACTCATCAGTCACCTGGGAGAGCTCAAACTGGCTGATTTTGGTAAGTCACCCCCCGAGTGTCTTTCTGGGCTATGAACAATGATGCTTTTGTGTGCACATGTTTAAAGCATCAAATAGGCCTGGCCTTTGAAAAGTGGGGACCAGGGAATATGACGTTTTTTGAGGATATCAAACAACCATACAGTAAGAGTGAGGCAAGAAACTGGGGGAGATTGATCACTTCTCAGGGTTCCATCAAGCCTCAGTCTAATCAGATCCTAAAATGTGGGTACCCCTATTACCTCACTGCTGTTTTTGATGCAGAGACTTTTGTAGAGTGAATGGTACTTCTTACGTTTCCCTAAATCTGGGTGGATGTACAAATTCCATCAGACTAGATCAAAGTTATCCCAGGATAGCCAGATAAAGAGGTCAACCCCAGACTGTAGGATGGACTCTTGCTGGAATGGAGGCTCCAGAACACCTATGTATCTATACAGATGGGACTGCATGGTGTGTGTGTGTGTGTGTGTGTGTGTGTGTGTGTGTGTTCAGTCGCTTAGTCCTATCCAACTTTTTTGACCCTATGGACTGTCACCAAGCTTCTCTGTCCATGGAATTCTCCAGGCAAGAATACGGGAATGGGTTGCCATTTCCTACTCCAGGGGGTCTTCCTGACCTACAGACCAAAGCCATGTCTTTCGAGTCTTCTGCATTGCATGCAGATTCTTTACCACTGAGCCACCAGGTACCTGAGGCTTTCATTCCCATCAAAGTGATGCAGATTTACCCTGAGTATCACTGTATCTTTCCACTTTAGCAGTTATCACTGTTTATACATATACACATACATATATACTCATATGATGGTTTTGTCTCCTCCACTAGACTATAAGTGTTATGAGGGCAGCCTGGATCCGTTTTTGCTTATCACTATATCCCTAGTGCCTGGCACCATCACAGTTGCTCAATAAATTTTTGTTGAAAAACTGGTTCCATATAAGCTGAGAAGACCCTCTTCACTGTTTGGCAGATGCCAAATGATGCTGCTATAACTGCAGTAAGCATGTAACAGACATTCATTTATCAAATTCCCAACAAGAGTAGACTCATCTATTGAGATTTCATACAGCTATAGATCATGTGATTCTATGAGATAAATAGCTAACTGACAAATGTACTGTTTTGCAGAGGAGCACTTGAGAATGACTCATCTAAGTTCCTGCCAAACTAGCTAATGTGGATTAACAGTCCCTACCCTTTATCTGCTAAACTGGGGATTCCTGAACTGCAGAAATGGAAGGTGGTCATATTAGTCATGAATTGATCTTCCCTTGCTGTTACAGAAACCTCCAATTACAGAGGTGTAAACATGCTTGATGCTTAATTTTCCCTTATATAACATCTGACCTAGGCAGTCAGAGCTTTGCGGAAGCCCCAAAATGTCTTGGTTCACGCTCCTTCTGTCATGGAGCCACACCAACCCTAAGTGTTGCCCGTTGGCATATTTCAAGATGGCAGCCACCTCCTCCTCACCACAGCCTGGAGGAAGGAGAAAAGGGACCAACACTTAACTCCTCCAGGAAGTTCACATGTCACTTTTATTCATATCAAATAGGCAAAAATTTAGTTGCCTTGCAACACTTAGCTGCCAGGAAGGCCACATGTAGCTGCAAAGTAGGCTAAATTTAGAGAAATTAATGTGATGAAGAAGTATACAAGAATCAAGATAGTCGAGTAGCTCTATTAAAAGCACTGAAATTTTTGTATTATTTTTAAAATATTGTTTACTCTGCCAGTTACACTCTCCTTGGCAGACTGTATCACTGTGACTCTCCAGGAAGTCTCAGGACAACAAGTTCTGTGCTCTCCCCCTTCACTCAGGTCTTGCTCGAGCCAAGTCCATTCCCAGCCAGACATATTCTTCAGAAGTTGTGACTCTCTGGTACCGCCCTCCTGATGCCTTGCTGGGAGCCACTGAATATTCCTCTGAACTGGACATATGGTAAAAGCAAGTGCCAAGAAAATGTGAGTCATCCTACCCATGAAGATTGCTCTATTATCTGTGCTACATTTTAGATAATCATTCTAATGGCTTCCCAGGTGACTTAGTGGTAAAGAATCTATCTGCCAATGCAGGAGATGTAGGAGACCCAGGTTCAATCCCTGGGCTGGGACGATCCTCTGGAGAAGGAAATGGCAACCCACTCCAGTATTCTTGCCTGGACAATCCCATGGACAGAGGAGCCTGGTGGGGTACAGTCCATGGAGTTGCAGAAAGTCAGACACGACTGAATGACTGAGTGTGCACACACGAATATTCTAATGGTGACACTCACGTTTGTATACAGAAATATAAAGTACTTTCAATACATATCTCATTTGATTTTTACAATAAGTTTTAACAGTTAAAGAAGTTGAGGCTCATAGAGGTCTTGCCCAAGGCATTTGCTGGATTCCATCCTTTTTTATCAATGCTCCTTCTTCTAGCTCTTTCCTTTGTCTTTGCCTTTGTCCCCAGGGAAACATACATATGCTCCCAAACCACAGATTTCACACACACACACACACACACACACACACAACTGCTTGTCTACACATGGTCAAACACAGTTCAGAGCTTGGTGGAAAAAAAACATAAATACCAAGATCCTGTAGACCTGATTTTCATGCCCTCTCTATTTCTAATCAGTTCCTCTGGATTATGTTATCTTCAAAAAACCTTCTACCCTCTCTGTGTTTATGTTTCTTTATTTTTAAAATAAGGGCAATATACTCTTCCCATGAAGGGTTAAGGGAGACTGTGGTGTGAATATAAGAAACCAGACAGACGCTGTCAAGTAGAAGCACATTGTTGGGGAGGCTCTGGGATTAAAGAGGTGCAGTGGTGAGTGTGGGATCTCAGTCACTCAACATCCCAGACCTTCAGTGTTATGGTGTCTGCTTCTGATTCCTGGAAATATCCCAGTCATTTGTGTGGTGGATTTACAGTCACAGCCAGCACCTCAAAGGTAACAAAGTATACAGACTTCTTTCAATTCTTTAGATGGTCTTATATACACTGAAGGCCCTGTTTAAAAAACACTAAGAGGCTAAACTAAGCTTTTGAATTTCCCAAAGTCTTGAGAAAAGTTGGAGAAAATTTCCTCCAGTGTATCTGGAGTCACTGATTTCCCAACACCCGGTACCATTTCTCAGAATATCACCTGCTAGTCAAAACCCCCCTGAAACTGTCAGCACTCGCAGCTCCGTGCCGTCACTTCAAAGGCTTTCAGCGGGCTCTGGTTTTCTCAGCTCTTAATGATCACTTCCTAGTTGTGCTGTGTCACAGACAGTGAAACTTCTGCTCATCACTTTTAAACTTTGCTTTATTATAGAGCATTTAAAACATTCAAAATACATAAATATATACATCAGTGATTCTTCCCCAGGATCAGTTTTACTTCCCAGGGACTTTGGCAATGTCTGAGACACTTATTGTCACACTTGGGTAGGGGCGGTGTGCTCCTGGCTTCTGGTGGCTAAAGCCTGGGGTTGCTAATAAATATCTTACAGTGCTCAGGGCAGCCCCCCTGCAACAAAGACGTATCCAGCCCCAAATGTCAATAGTGTCAAGACTGAGAAACCCGATGTAGATTAAGAAGCATAATAAAGTGAACTCCATGAACCCACTACCCAACAAAACAACCACAACATGGTCAGCATTGCCACATTGGACTTCCCTGGTGGTCCGGTGGTTAGGACTTTGCTCTTCCAGTGCAGGAGGTATGGGTTCGACCTCTGCTCGGAGAACTTGGATCCCACATGCTGCGTGGCGTGTCCAAAAAATATATTTCCACATTCGCTTGCGTCACCTTTCCATCCACCAGAGCCTGCCCCTCCCCCAGAGGGGCTCTGCCCTGAATTTTTATTCTTGTCAGTCCCTCACCTTTTTTCAAATAATACTTTTACATTTTTATATATTTTAAAAATATTATTTTACCTACTTCTGAGTTTTTATAAAAATGGTACTAAATTGTTTTTAGTTTTCTGTGATTTGCTTTTTTTTAACTCTGTGTATTTACAGGATTCATCCATGTCGATCTAAGTTACACTTTATTTTCTGTTGATGAACATTTCAGTTATCTAATTTGATATTTTTGTTTTTGCTATTTTGAATATGCTTGGTACTTATATTTAAGGATTTCTGGAGAAGGAAATGGCAACCCACTCCAGTACTCTTGCCTGGAAAATTCCATGTACTGAGGAGCCTAGTAGGCTACTGTCCATGGGGTCTCAAAGAGTCAGACACGACTGAGCGACTTCATTTCACTTCACTTCACTTCATTCTAGAGTACTTCAAAGTAGATTTGCTGTGTCTTGGGGTATATGAATGTTCAACTTCATGAAACAGCATCCAATTGTTCTCCATGTGGTTGTAACAATTTATGCATCAGCAGTGTATCATAGTTCCTTATCCACATCTGCACTAGCTTTATAAAATCAGATTTCTTAATTTTTGCTAATCTTGTGGGAAGAATGGTAGCATGCTGTGATCAAATGTGCATTTCCCTGATTACTAATGAGGTTGTAAGTCTTTTCATGGATTATTCGTGGGTTTTCTCCTATGAAATACCTCTGCGTGTCTTTCATTTATTTTCTTTTGGTCTCTATGTCTCTGACAGTCTCTCCCTTTCTTTCTTTATTGATTTATAGGAGTTCTTATACTCTGAATACTAATCTTTTATCAGTTATGTGTATTGCAAGAAGCCTCCCCAGCTCCTGGCTTATATTTTTGTCTTAATGTTGTCTTTTTAAGCAAGAGTGCTTTGTTTTAATATTACTGACCTTAGCAGTCTTTTCCTTTATGGTTAGTCTTTTTGTTCCTTGTTTAAAAAATCCTTCTCTCCCGGAGACCAAAGTGATATTATCTAATACATCCTTTTATAAAGCTGTAAAATTTTTCCTTTCACTTCAAATCTTTAATATATGGGAAATTGACTTTCTCGGTGCTAACCAATTGTCTCACCCCAATTTCTTCAGTAATCTGCCTTGCCAAATATCTCATGTATCAGGTTTCTAAAGATGCAAGGTCTGTTTTGGGGCTCTCTACTCTATTCCACTGGGGTCAGTGTATCTGTCACTGTACCAGTGTTCTTGTGTATTAATTTCTGTAGCTTTCTAATAACACTTGATTTCTGCTGGGACAAGTCTCACCACCTACTTCATTTTCTTCCTCAGGAGTATCTTGGCTATTTTTCCCCTTTGGTTCCCCATATAAATTTTGCTGAATGTAAAAACCCTAGTGGGACTTTCTTTAGAATTGCATTGAAATTATAGGACATTTTGAGGATAGTTAACACCTTTATAATACTGTCTTCCAATTTTAAAACAGTATAGTTCTCCATCTGTTTAGTTCATCTATAATACCTTTTAGTAAAGTTTTATAATTTTTTCTCTAAGCTCTTACATATCTAAAGTAAATCTTCTTTTCTTGTAAGTTGATTTCTGTTGTTTATTGTTTCTTTTGGTCCTTGCATATGGTATCTTTTTTCCATGCATATTTAGTTGTTTTTGACAATGATATGCTAATTCTCCTTGGAATTTTATTTGTGGGATTTTTTTTTTTTTGAGGCCTTGAATAAAGTGTGGTCTGTCAGAGAGGATTTGCATTTGATTCTTCTAGGTACATTTAAAAAAATTATTATTGTATTTTACATAAGTGTGGGTCTCCTACTCAGATATTGTTTCTTAATACCATTCCCTACTGAAAATAACTAGGCCTTTTTGGAAAAGTAGCCAGTACCAAGACTGGGGCAGGAAAAGTTTAAGATGAGCTAAGAACGTCTTGTTAGGCCAGAATATTTTCAATAAAGTCATCAAAAAATGATGGGAATATGTCAAAAGGATGTGGGAAGCAGCTTGAAGAGACTCCCACTGGCCAAAGCTGATACCTTCTGAGCATCCTAATAAATAGTGCAAATAATGTATTTTAACACAGAATAACATAAGAATATATGTCTATATGGAAGATAGATAGATAATAGATGGATAGATTGGATGGCATCACCGATGCAATGGACATGAACTTGGGCAAATTCCAGGAGATGGTGAGGAACAGGGAGGCCTGGCTTACTGCAGTCCATGAGGTTACAAAGAGTTGTACCTGGCTTAGCAACTGAGCAACAACAGATGGATGGATAGCTGGGTAGATGGATGGATGGATGGATGGATGGGTCCATAGACACATAGGAAGAGAAGCTCCTTTTTACAGTAGAATGTCAACTGATAACTGGGGAAGAAATGATATAATTAGAAAAATCACTATTTTGTAATATATGTAGTAGTAATCAGTTCAAATGAGAATCATCAATCCTAAACTAGTGGGGAAGTTTTCATGAGAAATAAAATATTTATTTACATAGTCTCAAAGTACCTCTACACAAATTACTCATGACAAAATGAAAAATAGCAACTTTATACCAGAGGAACTTGGCAAACACCGCCTTAACCAAGTGATTAGAGTCAGTACCATTAATAATGGGATGGACTACAGTCCATAGGGTCACAAAGAGCTGGACATGACTGAGCAACTGAGCTTACTGACATCGTTTGCCTCCTAATATGAATCAGAGGAGACAGTATCACGAATGTGGCTTTCCTGAAAAAAGAGCATAACCTGAGTCAAATCATGAAGCAGCATCAGATAAACTCATGTTGAGGAACATTCTATGACATAACTATACGGTACTCTTCATTCTATTTTTTAATAATTTTATTTATTTATTTGGTTGTGCTGGGTCTTCATTGCTGCTCCTGGGCTTTCTCTAGTTGCAGTGGGCAGGGGCTGCTCTCTAGTTGTGATGTGTGTAGGGCTTAGTTGTGTTGTGTGCCAGGCTTCTCGTTGTGGTGGCTTCTCCTGTTGTGGAGCACGAGCTATAGGGTACATGGCTCAGAGGCTGCAACTCTCGGGCTCCGGAGCACAGGCTCAATACGTGTGGCACGCAGGCTTAGTCGCTCCACAGC